GGGCATACGTTTTTCTCAAATATTTATTATCATCTATATTAAACCCCCCCCCCCCTTGGAAGAACCTGGCTACGGACCTGATGTTTGCTAATTAATGAAAAGCTATTTTAAACATTGGTGGCTTAGAAACAATAGACGATTATAATCATATTAACTATTATATAGGCATATCTAAATTTAACATAGTCTCCGTGCGTTTGGTCCTCCAAGTCCGTCGAAAGGTTGGCCCTCACCCGTCTACCGAATGACGTCAATCTTTGTACAGACGTGATATCACATGCCACCCATCTACCAATGAGCTTGCGATGCTCTCTTGCATGTAAAAAAATTATAGGAAGTTTAGAGCTAGCGCTGTCAAAATGGCTACTTTCTGTGGTGCAAGACCAGGTACCGAGATTGTCAGGGGCCAAGTCTTCGATGTCGGCCCTGAATACACAGGGTTAAACTACATCGGTGAAGGAGCATATGGCATGGTTGTGTAAGTATTATTATTTTATTTTTAGCTGAAGTACATCGTTTTACCCCGATGGGCGTTGTAACTGTTTCAGCCGTGGTGCAAGCGGTGTACTGAGTAGGTGTTCACGCTGATCAAGCCGAGCCCAACCTCTTCAGTGCGGTTCGGTATGCGCGGTGTACGGTAGCATACATTAGATGCCGAGCCCCTTTTCTGGCAATGAGGTTGCTATAGCGTAGGGGCCCAGTCCTATGATTGTTTACTACTATCCTAGGCCTAGAACCTATGCTTTGTTGAAGACACGACCGTACGAAAGATGCTAATAATGCTGCCCACCTTTCTTTTTATACAGTGATCAGATTTACATGAGGTAAACAACAGGTTAGAAAATGCTGGGAACTGACTGAACAGTAATTAGGCCCAGGTCTAGGCCTAAATTAGAAAAAAGTTGGATAGCACAACTGCTCTCATTCTTCTGAACCTGGGAAACTGTAGGGCAAGTGCCAACGCAGACCAGACCCAAATGGCTGGCCTAGGCCTACACTGAGGACTTGTCTAAATCGTACATTGTGTAGGCCTTTTGTATCTAAAAGATGTAGCATCAAATCCATGCAGTAGCTTAGGGCATTGTCATTTTATAGTAGCTTAGGTCTTGTCCCTTCATCCTAGGCTCAAGTATTTATTAAATTTATTTATTCAACTTTCAGACCAAAGTACACAACTATCAATAACCACTCTTTTTATCCCCTGAGGTAGATTCAAAGGCAATCTTAACCACCAAGATACATCTCCACTACTCTAACAACACTCTTTTTAACCCCTGAGGTAGATTGGAAATCAAGCATCTTAACCACCAAGATACATCTCCACTTCTCTAACAACACTCTTTTTAACCCCTGAGGTAGATTGGAAATCAAGCATCTTAACCACCAAGATACATCTCCACTAACTCAAACCACTCTTTTTGACCAGTCAGTGTTTCTGGAAGCTGACAGTCATTGACTCTTGTAAGCTGATTTAGAAGAATACATGTCAGTATAGATAATAGAAAAATAATAAATGTTATAAATATCTGGAGATGTGCTAAGCATACTGTACTTTGGTTTCCTTTATTCAAGTACATTAAAAACACCATCTATTAGTATTACTTGGCTCAAATTTTGATGGTAGAGAGTTAAATTTCAGAGTGGTACAAGCCAAGCAGTAAGGTCAAAGGTCGGTCTTACTATGCGTCTACTTCGAGATACCTGATTCAGTTAAAAATGCTTTTTATCACTGATCATTATCAGTTTGCTTAATTAATGGCAATGTTAGTACTGTAGGACATCATAAATAATTCATCCACACATTCCCAATTTTATCTGTATTATTTTAGGTATGATGTCAACAAATACAGTGCCCTCAATTCAGAACTAGGTCATACAAATAGCTGACTGATCAAAAGATTACCTTGAACATAATGTTTTAACATTTATGTATACATAATAATAAATGGTTGGTAGTACCTTGGGCATTAAATTTTCTATTTAACTTTTAATGTATATTTCTTATGTATTTTTTAATTTTTTTGTAAATGTATATTTTAAAATTCTGTACAGCGCCGGTGGTCACTTTAAGTGGATATTGTTTTGCGCTTTATTAAATAAAGTTGTTACTATTTATTGGTGCTGGTACAGGACAGCATTTTACAGTGAATCTTGATAATCCTTTCTGGGCTGAATCCAATGAACAGGATAATAATATGAAGCGTATAATGGTCTTATTGGCATGATAAACTATCCATATAATAAGACTGGCATAATTATTTATTTGACTTAACTGTCACTGTTTGTTTTCAATGATAGTTATAAATTCTTCTGAGTATTCTGCTAGACAGTGTGACACATTTGGTGGTGACCTGTATTTGTTGGTTCTGTTTGTATATTTATAATATAACTGTAAACTGTTACAGCAGTAGTATTAGTTTTGTGATTGTGATTAAATTTGTTGATACTGTATATTCAGCCTAGTTCACGCCACAAGTTTGTCTTGTTTTAGATCAATGTAAATGGTAATGATAGGTACATTTACATCAAGATAAAATTTATACCCAGGTTACTAGATGAAGATTAGCAGTTATTTTGCATGACCAGAACATTAAAACTAGGTTCACATTGAGATATGTTGTTCAGTTAACTACCTATTGTAGCCTTAAAATATGATAATAGGTAATCTAATGTATGTGTTCACATCAAACTGTCCATTTAGATTAAGATTAGTGGTCAGTCATGCATGACCAACACATGAACTAGAATGGAACAAGATTGGAGGTTTTTGTGAGACCTGGAAAATATACTGTTGCAGCCTTACTTAGATATTTATCAATGGATTATCTCTGGATTTATTGTTAATCCTGACACCATCTCAGGACTAACTATTTGCAGTAATATAAAAGAAAATAGTGATTTATTCTCTTTTGAACATTTAAATTTGCTAAAGGTATTAATAAATACTGTATAATGTTTGATCAGTGGCTTAAACCACTTATTTCCAATTGGGCTCTTAAGTGTGAATTTTAAACAATGCATACTTGATTGGAAACATACTATAAAAGTAAAATGGTGAAAATTCTTTTTTTTTCTATGTTCTTTACTTTTCCCAGAAAATGTTATGTATGATGGAATAAGGAACGGAGCTATAAAACTATGTGTCTGACATGCTTGGCTTCTATCTGAAAGACATTTATTTATTCCCTTTTTAAATTTTACAAAGAGTATGAAAATAAAATAAATTGAAATGCATAAATATAAATGAAAAAAATGAAGAATATACATATACTGTAGAATTTAAGGTAAAATATTATCTGGTGATGGTTTCAAGCTTAGTGTTTAAACTTAAAACTCAAGAACTTTTACTCAAATAGCATCTTAATGAGACTTAGCTCATAGAGTATCATTCCATCCTGTAATTTGCAAAGTCATGTATATTCGCGATTCATTTGTATTTGTAAGACATAAAATTAAAAAAATCTTTGAACCTTGAAATAGCTGGGTTTATAGCTCTATTTAACTTCCTCATCCTTTAAATTATATAAAACACTTGTGTTATTTCTGTGATTTTCAGGTGCTTTAAAAATATCATTCCGAAAATAAATGTTTAGCGTTTGTTTTCCAGTAATGTGGATACATACAGTAGCAGTTAGCAATGCAACTTTTAATCTAATTTACCTCATATAAAATTATGTTTTTGGAATTTCTCAAAGAATTATTCTTAAATGCAAAGGTTATGTACAAATGACGAGAAAGAACTGTTCTTAAGAACCGTTCTTTTTAAAAACAGTTCTTTGTGACAGTAGAAATGGAGCCCACAAAAAATAGTCGGTTTTTTTTTTGCGTCTCAAAGCATGGTTCTTTGGCACAGAATCAGCACCATGCCAGGAACACCAAAGAACCCTTCCTTGAGTGGGGTATAGTAGTTTTTAGCTGCAACATAAATAGCTTCCTAATTTGACCGAAGGTCAACTTAGCCACTAGGCTATGCTTACACTATGTCTAGTACTTATAGAATTGTTAAAAAGGATGTAATCGAGAGTTAATTTTTATCAGACTTTGTAAAGTAACTCTCATATCATTAAATTAGGCCTCCTACAGTACATGATTTTACCTTTGGACACATTCATAAGTTCTTTTATAATAATGATCAGAACTGTAGGACGTGTTCCACCAGTCCAGCGATGTAGTAGGCCTATCACTGATATAGCACTGTCTCTTATACACATCTAGATGTGTATAAGAGACAGACTGTACAGTATCGAGACATAAGTGATTTGGCCTGAATATGATGAAAATATGTTTTGTTGATACATACTACAGTATAAGTGAAGAGTTGGACGAAAACATTAAAAACAGGCATACTGTAGGTATTGTTGGCTCTTTTTTTAGCCCCTTATAGGGTCCCAAATGCGGGGAAGCCACTTACGGGAGATTTGATGTAATAAGCTTTCTGCACATCTCATTATTTATATTTTGCTGCGTTTGGTAATACCGATGCCAGCTGGCTTCAGGGAGACAAGAATTCATTAAGTAAAAACATGCAAAAGTTCTAAATTTGTAGGAGATTGGTTAGTTTCTGGAAGATTTTTCTTGTTTTTTTTTAGTGTAGTAGAAGACAGTCAAGGATATTCAGGAGACTAACTCACTGCAACTAGCAGGGAACTTGGTACCCCCAGTTCATGCAACAATGTCTGACTAAAGCCTAAGCTCTAGGTGCTGATGTATACCGCGTTCACATGTCTTAGGTCGCTCGCGAGCGAACGATTGGCTCGCGAGTCGGACCTTCATGTGAACAACTGCTCAAGATCGGTTTTTGTCGTGGGTGACCCACGACAAGCCGCTCTCGAGCGGCTCTCGATGCAGCTCGCTCTCGATCCATGTGAACAGCCGCTTGCAAGCGGGTCACCAGCGAGCTGGGATCTCTTTTGTGTGAAAGCCAATCAGATACAAGCATCTCTCCAGGGTCAAAGTAAGGGAGAAAAAGTGTGACTTCACGTTTCCTGGCTGGAATAGAGTTAAGAATGGCGTGGTTTTTACCATTTATACAAACTTGAAAATCACTTTTAATATGACAACAATAAATCACATAATAAGTTTAAAAGTAATATTACTCGTGGATATCGTATAGTACATTTCTTCTACAAACATGATTTAATGACATACGTGTACGGCGGTGTACCGACGCCTAGGCCTACGCTCGGAAGATTTTAAAATGCAAATTTTTATAACTTATGATTCGAAAATAAGGCGAGCTTACAATATATGAGAAATAGATTTATTTATTTTCAGTGGCTTTCGAGAAACGAGAAAATGCAATATAAGTTACAGAAATGCGTTAAACTTGCCGGTTTACCACAGAATTGGGAACATCGGCAATCGCCCAAAAATGTCAGGCGGGGACCGTTGGAGGATCGTCGATGCCACCTCCACCCAAGCTTAGGATCAGAAATCGCAGGCCTAGCATGTCGACAACCAATTGGGATGTGACGTAAA